TACTCGCTAAGTGTAAAGATGCTATACTACCATGTAGTTTGATGGTTTGATCATGACTTCGTAATTGCGCCCACAGATTATAGCTGACCAGTATATACCCTTGTCTTCGCCTGACGCCACACACCATTCTTCGTACGGCTACGAAGATGGTCCATTGTTCTCCCTCTTCATGCGATCCGCCCATCCATTCATGCTTCGTCGAATCCCTAGCGTCCGTCGCATCGTCGTCGCTGGCCCCGTCTGCACCATCGACATGGTAGTCGTGTGATACGTGGCCACCGGTCTGGCTCCCCCGACGGTCCCTGAAAGACTCTTAATCTCGCTTGTCCGCAAATCCTTCCCAGCTTCGCTTGCTCCTTCATCAGTCGACTTCGGTCCCTGAGTGGCGCGCGAGAACGGCTTCTGTCCCCCCGAGGGCTTCGAGGATGCTGCCAACCAGGTGTATTGATTCGGGTCGGAAGGTTCGAGAACTGGTCGAGGCGGTTGCAACTTTGGCCCTTGCGGGCGATACGTCCGGAGATTCGATGGGATCACACTTTTAAACTCAGAGTTCGACGATCCACTGTGACGCGTTTGCCCTACCGCGTCTCTCCGGTTGCCCTGAGGCTGGTAGCGCCCAGCCGCGCCTGAACCGCTCTTCGGGCCTGACGACGAAGGCTGCCCAAAGAATCCAGAGATCGTTTTCTGCGATAGTCCGTCCGCTTTGCGACCGACGATGCTGGCAGCTACGGCGTTCGACTTGGTCTCGGCTGGGGTTGGGGGTTGTTCTGGGGCTGAGTCGCTAGTCGCTATGTATTCGCGGGCTGTCGAGAAACCTAGGGATAATGTTGTGGGAACAGAAAAGTTGGAGCCATTCATGGTCGGCGTCGTCCACGACATGTACGTTGTCGTCGATGCGCCCGGTTGCCCCTGGTTGAGTCGTTGTCTCTTAGGATTGGGCTCCCCGCCCATGGCTCTGGTGCCGTCCCAGCGAATGATGGCATCAGGCGCCTCGAAGCCATCTTCTGTCCACTGATCGTCATATGGGATATCACAGGTAGATCGTCCTTCCGATATAGCAGCTGAGTCCGGCATTGGTCGACGTAGGATATCTGCGATATCTTGGATAATTCTGTCGTTGATTTTCGGTCCGAGAAAACGAAATCGCTCCTCTACTAGCTTTGACGGGAGGAAGGTCGACAATGTTGCCTCTTCGCCATCGCGGGACTGTCGGAGAGGATAACTTAGATATAGCAATGCCTGTGCCCTGGTCATGGCTACATAAAGCAGTCTTCGCTCTTCATCCGAGTCATCGGCACGAGAATGTGGGATAATGCCATTGAGCACGGCAGGCACAAACACCACAGGCCATTCAAGGCCTTTTGCTGCATGAATCGTGGAGATGGTAACCTTCTCATTAGATTGCTCGCCCTCTTCACCTTCCTGCGGAAGAACCTCTGTGGACAGCGCCACATTCGCCAAAAAGCGAGACAGCGCCTCTTCGCCCGGATGAGCTTGTTGTTGTTCGATGCCCTGTATTTCCGGAAGATTTTCCTCATTTTCGGCCTCATTCTCTGGCCCAGGTGTGTCATCAGCTTGGGTCAACAGCTCCTCCACGTTAGCCCACCGGTTCTCCTCATTCGAGCCATGTAACGCTTTGAGATATTCTCGGAATGATAGCTTTTTGATCAAAAAGTCGAGGAGCTTCCTCGGCGACGACCCGTCGGTACATTCACGGAGCTTCTGTCGAGCAGACTCGATGACTCCAACCAGGGTGCAGAGTCCGTTGTCAGCAGGCTTTGATAGAGATTTCTCCGTTGAACTCCGACCTTGAGCAACATCCTTCATGAAGTCCCAAAGCGGCTTCTTCGCCTTCTCCGCGCCCTTTGTCAATATATTGACCGATTCATCACCGAGCTTTCTAGACGGCACATTAATAATGCGCAGGAGAGCATCGGTGTTACCCGGCTGGCTAATGACTCGAAGATAGTCCAGGAGCAACTTGATCTCCACTCGGTCGAAGAACCTCAAGCCACCAACCATCCGGTACGGAATCCCATGCTTTCCCATTTGGGCTTCTATCTGTCGCGAGAGAGCAGCCGACCTGAGCAGTATCGCAAAGTCCGAATAATTCACAAGCTTCCCCGTCAAGGCGATGCACCTCTTGATCTCTAGAACAATCCAGAGGGCCTCGGACTCCGAGTCAGGCAGCTTGCGTAGGACAGGCATAGTGCCCAAGCTATGCGTCGGTTGCAGCTTCTTCGCTGGCCGTGATGAATCTTGTTCAATGACATCTTGAGCCGAACTCAGGATACACCCAGAAGACCGGTAATTGTCCTCCAGCAAGACGACCGACGTATCCTTATATAGCTGCTGCATACGCCCCAAGTTCTTGATCTCGGCAGATCGGAAACCGTAGATACTCTGATCCGGATCCCCAACAACCGTGATCCGTTGATTCTGGAACGCAAACAAATTCATCAACTCATACTGGATATGGTTCGTATCTTGAAACTCATCAACCAGAACAGCTTGCACATTCGACACACACTGCGGATGCTTCCTGAGCAGTTCCACGCACCGCACAAGTAGATCATCGTAGTCCAGCAAACTTGAAGCTGCCAAATTTGCCTCATACTCACGATATACCTGAACAAACTCTCTCTGCTCCAGAACCTTCGAATTTTTGTTCAACTTCGCCGCCAGCTCATCTGGACTGACTCCATGAGCTTTCTGGTGTGAGATCCTTGCCCTCGCTGCATTAGGCTGGATTCCGACCTGCAATCGCTTGATGATCCTCTGTAGGAGTCAGCAACAGACACAGACACATACACATAGACCATGTAAGCTAGACCACCTACCTTGATAATCGCCAAGCTATCTCCTGAATCTGCAATACCAAACCCCTTCTTCAGCCCGATCAGATACCCATACGTTACCAGATATCTCCGACAAATTGAATGGAATGTTCCCAGAATCAGCTTCCTCTGCAATTCGTCACCGATCAGCTTTGCCAGTCGTTCCCTCATCTCCCGACTAGCTTTGATTGTAAACGTGCAGCAGATGACATCTTGTGGTCGGTAGCCATGGTGCGCGAGCAGGTACGCGACGCGGGCGGTCAGGGTCTTGGTCTTTCCTGAGCCGGGGGGAGCGAGGACCTGGAGGATGGGGGACGGAGACGCTACGGCGGCTGTTTGGGCGGAATTGAGCCCATCTAGGATAGGATCCATTGCGGAGTAGCCATGGGGCTTGTGTTGTTGATGCTGAGGGGTCTAGAAGCTGCAGATCGTCGATTCGGGGAGACGCGAGCGATACGCGGTGTCATGTGACGTCTATACATTTTGCACCCCGGCTGTCGATTCCAATGTATACTTCGAGATAGAGATGATAATGATATTTGATGATTAATTTCATGACATATATAGTTGCAGAGCTTGGTGAGCATTAGCAGATGGGTAATTCAGACATGGTGGGTGGGAACTTGCTGAACTATATATTAAACCCGTGTCTGCCCCCTTTCTGGTACTATTCACTGCGCCACCTACAACCACGAGTTCCACATTGTGATCAATTAGTAGTATCTAAGATATCCAGAGAAATTAGTTTCTCTGGTTTTCTATTTTGACGTTCATATGATGGTTGAAATTACCATATATTCCAGTCAGCCACCGAAACGTTCTACTACACACCACATCATACATACTTGGACTCACTTCACACCAAAGACTACCATGATAATGTAATTGGCCTTTTTGATTCCTTGCTTATATGAGATAAAATACCGCAGGTAGTCCGCTCAACAATTACGACATTAGGCCGTCAAATATAATCAGTGCCAAATAACACCAACCCTATGGAAAATTTGGATCTAATTAGACACGCACTCATCACCCTCCTGGCAGAGAGACCTTGAGTGTATCATTCTACACCAGAATGAAAACAAGGTAACGTGATCTTGTATTTAGACAACCAATATACAGCTCAAATTTGCGCTGATTCTACCTACCATAAAGACACAACCCAGCTAGAAGCTTGTTAAACTCTTTGTTACAATGCTTATCCCTACGTGAGAGCAAGTCAAAACTAGTTAAAAATATAGTTTGACACCATAACGACTGAGATTAAGGTGACTACTTTGCTGCATTGGCTAACCCTTTACAGTACCCTCCATCGGCTACGCAGCTTCCATCAGAGACAAGCACGGAATACCACAAGTAACTGCTATTCCAATAAGAAATAATGGACCAAAGTACAATAGAAGAGAGCACAGCTACAGAGCATCAGGGAGAAAGCAAGAGATATTACCAATGCATAGGAAAAACAAGGGATTGAAACATACTACAGCACCATGCCATATGTGCTTCCACTTCCCTATACATTCAATCATATGTATGTTAAGATTGCAATACATCTCATCATGCATGTATGTCTCAACGTCATCCTTTCTACCTGGATAACTCCAAAGATATCAACTATCAATGATTTACAATCAGCCAGAACTTCTTGATGGAGTAGACGAAAGCGAGATATCAATAGCAACAACCCTCTTAACAGTGCCAGCCACAATACCTATTCATTAACCGTAGGAAAATGTACTACAGTAAACGCCATGCAAATATCACCAGATACTTACCTAGTCAATACAGCAATCAACCGAATGGCTCTCGGCCGAAACCTGCCTGCACTTCATCTACTTTGAGCATCAGTTGTATAGTAAACCGAGAAGCAAAGTGAACGAAATCAAAACCGAAGACATCGTATGATCGATCCCCCAAGGAAACAGAAAAAAACAATAATAAAATCAGTCTTAATATCCTCAGCACCCCTGCAAGTAGCACAAACCAGCTAAGCCACATCCCTAGATACAAACCGACCAGTGTTGTTGTTCGGAGGCTACATACAGCCAAACCAGCCAGCCCGTAGTAATCCCGCACCGCACCGCAGCTAACCTAAGCTTGGCGGTCACTGCCCGCAGCGGTAACGTCACTGATTTACACTCACTCCTTCACTTACTCACTTACATCCTCCGACATCACAACCACAACAAGCCACCAAACAAGCCCAACATCAGACCACACCTACTACTGACTATCCCCGCATCCATCACCAACAAACCACCACCTCCCCGCTCGATTCTCAACCCAACCAAATCACAAATAACCCACCCACCCGCGCACATTCAAGCATGGCGCCCATCCGCCGCTACCTCCGAATCAGCAAATACACGGTCCTCGAAAGTCGAATCTACCTCGAGAACCCCTCCGATATCCGATGGCTCCTGAATGCGCGTGACGCCGTACTCCCACGCGTATTCGCAGCGATCCGGCCACTCGTGCTGCCCAAGTTACGTGAGGAGAATGAGCGGTTGTTTGCGAAGAAGAAGGGGAAGCCGGTGAAGGATGTTATTTCTGAAGGTGAGTTAGATTCTTACATAGCATAGGCATGTTTATTGCTATTGCTTTTCGTAATATTCTGGTGTCAAGAGGGGGGAGGGGGAAGAATGGCTGGGCTAATTATTTATGCAATTCGTGTAGAGGAATTCGAGGTTGCGCTGTTTTTGCGCGAGTCGAGGACGCGCCATTCGCTTCTTACGAGGCATAAGGAGTTTGGTGAGGAGGAGGAAGGGGGATACGCTGTCAGGAGGGGGATGGGAGGAGGTTCTGATTCTGGGGCGGCTGGGGGTGGGATCTTGATTGAGAGTGATGAGGAAGAGGGGTTGGAGATGAGGGATATACCACAGGCGAGTGGTGGTGATGATGATGATGATGATGATGATAATGCGGCTGGGGGGAAGCGCCAGCGGGATGATGCTGATTGGCAGTCCGATGATTCGCCGCAGCGGCGGCGTACCTTGAAGAGGAGGAAGGATGATGGTACGCTATCGCGAGATGCTGATGATGGTGATGACAAGAAGATGCGCTTCAGGACCAATTACGAGGGATTCAATATCTACGGCTGGGTGCTGTGTCTGCTTGTCACGCGGAAAGGTGACAAAACAGGGACAAGAGCTGCACCGGCAGAACCTGGTCGTCAGGTCTTGATGGAGGAATGGATATCAAGCCAGGCTCAGGGCGATCTGCCCGAAGAATGATTTCGAAGCTGCCTGCAATACGTTACAGCATTGCAAGACTTGCACACGCCGCGTGGGACGGGGATGGCGCCTCGTCGTAGGAAGCGACCTGATCGTTTGATTTCTGCATAACGCATGGTATCGTCCAACGGTCGCATATCATGAATTGCAGAATGCTCGTGCGCGTGATGCAGATTGAATGCTATCCAGCTGAAAAGAATCGAACGATTGTCCTGCGACGTGTTCGCAAATTGCTGTACCACCTGGTGCGATGGCGGCCCGTCTGGACAACATTAGCTGGAGTCGAGACCAGTCCGGCCGAGAATCATCTTTAGGTTCGAGTTTCCAGTGAGGCGACGAAACAGTGGTGTGCGACAGCCTGACTCGGATGCTGGCCGTTATCTGGATTAGGTTCTGTGTAACACCTGGTCCCAAGGAACCTGACCGTCTCGCCACTTTTGCGCCGAAGACCACGTCTACAGTGCCAGGCCACGTCGCAATCGGCCTAGACTGTCATAATCAGTCGGTCCCTGGGAGCCTCTTGCGGGGCACTCACCGTTGGAATAGAACACCATGCCGCATGGATGTGCACTGCAGCACATACATATGTGAGGGTCATTTAGACTTTCGGCTTGCTGCATAAGCCATGATCCTGGCGCATAACATACTGATGTACAAGGGTTGTTTCACGTTGACATGCTGATTGACAGCTTGCGACTCCGTGATATATCTGAAAACAGGAGACAGAATGGCGTTTGAGATTGAGCAGACGCGTCCCGAATGGCTTCTGCTTCAGTATCTTGCCAAGAGTCAAAGTACCGAGATATTGCCGTGTCGTCTAATTTTACCCCAACACCAGAGTAAACGAGGACCGGGATTTGGTTCACCGTTTTCTTTCAGAAGCGCCCTGTCCGCCCTTTTGCGGAGATGCCTTCCGAAGCAATTGAACAATGGCCCAGTAATCGGCGTGCAGACATTAATAATCTTGCAAGGCTAAGCAAAAACCTGCACTGGATCCAATGGAGAGTAGCCGAATCTTGACGTCAGTCGAGGAAGAAAAGGGCAGGTCCAAACAAAATTTTCTCCGACTAAGGTAGTGGGCGGAGTTCTCCGTACTGTGGAGTAGGATTGACCGACACTGATAAAATTGGGATCCATGTTCCACGGTAAGGACGACTTTTCCATGCAGAAGACGTAGACGAGACCCTCTAGATAGATACAGCCCTTTTAGGCTTTTAGCCGCTTGAGATGTGCCTAAAGAGGCAGGACACCGCGAGGAAGAATGCCGAAAGAATTGTAACTGAGGTTTGAACCTATGCTGCCTATGTTATTGCCTTGCTTGAGGATTCGAGAAAAACCGTAGCCAGCCGCCCGTGAGATCCGATCCCGCTGCGGGGTTCAACAGGGAGTAGTCGAACCATAAGGGTGCTATTGAAAATCGTGATCAACATGGGTCCTAAGACACGGTATTCAGAGCACCAAGTACTCCGTAGACTTCTACACCATTACCCAGGATGGCAGTAATTTCAAGTGCTTATCCTAAAGGAGAAACGGTAATACCATTCAGCCAACCGATAATCAACGGGGTCTGTGTGGTGAAAAAGAGGCTGGGATAGAATTCGATGAGCAGTGGTTTCCTGCAACAGAGTTAGTGGGAGCAAGTGGACCAGCCGTTGTAGTGAAACCAGCGGCGCCAAAGGCGGTGCTGAGACCGGCTGCTCACTAGAACAACGTAGCAAGTTCGTATCATAATTAGTGGCCTTTTAGTCCCGAATTAGCGACAAAGCGGGAGCGATTGTTGAGAGTTTTGAACCGCAACCTGTGTGGGACGGACAGTGGACGAGCACTGTGCGACAAGAGGAGCGGTGAACCATGGATTGCGACGGTTTCTGGAAGAGTCAGTACCATTCCACAGAGCGGAGAAATTCCCTGATGTTGATCTTCACTAGATATGTACGCCGCACGGAGTCCTGCCTGGGAAATTCCGATCTTGCCTACATCGGCGTGGGCAACCCCTCCTGCAGTCGGACTATTGAATATTGCAGATTGGGAGGCGTTACGGTGATTGTGATAGTCGAGGATGCAGTGAGATGCATAGTACCTGCATTAACGCAATTGCTGCGTTACATCCAATCCACTAACCCGCAGGGGAACCAAAACTTGAGGCGGGAAACTGTCCGGGATATACGACAACATTAGTTGGGGAGAACAAGCAAGAGAGAGAGAGAAAGGCGCGTAAGTATGACAAAGGCTCAATGAGTGTGGTGTATCATGTGTACCCATTCTCCACTTTGTGCACTATTATAGCAATCTGTCCAGGACTGCAGTGGGAGTTTGCCGAGGAGTTTGACGAAATTGGCGTGAATCACCCTGCCTCCGCACTGAGACCGGCCATTGATGGCTGCGATCCAGTTTTCACCACACCAACGGCGCGGAATGAACACCCCCAACAGTGGGGATCTCATTTCGTTCTCTTGGAACTGGGATCCACTCTGTCAACATCCTTCTCCTTCTTGCCATGTGTTTTTCTTTTGGCCCTCTCTGTCCCCATCGTCCCAAATGGATAAGAGCCATGTGACCTGACGGGAAATCAGGAAGTGGCAAAGATGATGATATGACCGATCCGGATCATTCAGGGAACCTATACCTACTATGTAATAAGGAAAGGGGAAATGAACCATTCATCCACCGGAAGCGCGCGGGATCTCTTTTGCGTCAGGCGGCCATCACCACCAACCGGATAAAATTAGTAGATACAGTAGGACGCCGTAGCTCACGATGCTACTGCTAGGACTGGCAAAGAAAAAAAACCTGCCTTGTCCTTTCTCAAGTCTCAGTCAGTGGTCATGCATGCAGCGGCGCTAACAGCTGCACACTACGCCAAAGAAGTCAATCGTTGAGGACGACTTGACGCAGGCCGGGGTTGTTAGTTAGTAACTTAGTATCCTGTTAGGCGCCGGCCTATCTCTCTAGCGGCCGTGGGTAACGAAAATTGTCGGCGGAGAGACCAGCGACCGGGTCAAATCATCGACGCGAGAACGCAACCCGCATCTCGATGGATCGACCGATGAGTCGATGCAGCAATCGATTGACGTGCAGGATCATCGTTTCTCCCTTCCTGTTTACCGTGTCCTTCGCATCCCGGGCCACGTCCTATCTGCAGATGATCCGGCGTGACGCCGCGCATCCTCATTAGATACTTACTCATGAAGCGGGTGGTGCTAGTCCGGTTGCACGCCAGGGCTCCATTGGGCCAAGGGGGGTGAGATTGGTGGATGTCTACTGGTTCAATTAACGAACTCATTCAGATTCAAATCAAGTCAAACCGGATTGGACCTGATGAGCGTTGCATTGCATAAGAAAGTACACCCCCAAGTCAGCTGGCGTGGGAGATTAGTTTCAGTTAGTTCTCTCAAGCTGCAGGGACGGACGGGAAGATAGCGAGCCAGTCAGTGACCATTAATTGGGTGTATGGTACATGTACGGAGGTATAGGATATGTGTAATAAGTAATAAGTAATCATGAAATTGTGAAGTCTAATAGTTATTGATCAGGGATGATAGGAGGGCAGCCTTACAGCAATCAAACAATAGCAAACCGCAACCTAACAGCCAAGACTAGGCAAGGGACATCAGCCACAATGGATGGAATGGATGGTTGTCAGCCGAGATGTCCGTCAAATGGAAGGGCCCGGAATTAGCAGATTCCAATCGCTTCCCGAGGATCCCGTTCCTTGGAAAAAGGATGGATGGATGACAGACAGTTCCTTGAACTCAAACCCGTTCAGGGCAGCACCCAAAAGTTTGAGAGCTCGGACAATACGAACGCAGGTACTTTACCTTTTCCTGACTTTCATGCAAGGAGAAATGGGGTTTTCGTTGGCGGACGTAAACCCCGAAGATGCGATCCAATTGTGGGTGAGAGCGATGATAATCAACCCCTGAAACATCACTCCGGCGGCGGCCTGAGGACACGCCATCCAAGCTCTTTTCTTCTCAGTTTGTGTCTGTGTGGGTGTGTAGTAGTATCTTTAGGTTGCGGCTACCCCGTTGGCTGCGACAAACTTGCCGCCCTGTACAGATGAAACGACCTGTCATTCTTCCGTTATGATCGGATCACCACTGCCCTCCTTCCCTCCCTCCTTCCCCCTGAGCAAGGCTGTAAGGGAAGGAAAGAGAAGAATGTTTCTTCCAATCCCAATCATGGGTCATGGCTCCTCAGCTGTCTACTGCCTGTCTCACCACTCTCAGCTATCCATGCTCGCAGAAAAGGGCCTACACACGGCTGAAACGGGAAGGCTGAAGGATGCAGGCGTCACTTGGGCTTGAGGACTACGGGATGTGTGGTGGCTTGGACTGGATGGATACAGGAAGAGGATAGGCCCGCAGGTCCCGACAATCTGGCTGAAGCTAAGATCTTCCCTCTTTTGGGGGTGGGAAGGAAGTAAGTACATACAGGAGGACGAGGGTGTCTGTGTGGTCGTGAGGAATCAAATCACACGCATCCGAGTTTCAGACGGGCAGCGCAACAGCCGCGCATTTGACTTCGGATCATCCTGGACCTTGTCCCCTCTGGTGCTCTTCTCAGTTCTCACGCTCTTAGCTCTCTTTCCCCCCTCAAAGGATCTACGAACTGGCACGTGTAGACATGGCTGGACTAGCCCCCAAAGCTCGTAAGCCTATCAAACGCAGCTGCACATACTCAGGGATGAGGTTGCCTGGACACCATCCTGGTCGGGATGCGGAGTAAGCGCATCCTCTAACGGTGGCATTGATCCCTTCGATTGAGTCATAGATAGCAATGTTAACTCACTCACCATTACAAAGTGATTAACTCATGCCTGCTGCTGCTGCTTCTTCGTCAGTGTCCCCGTCCTCCCCCATGGTAATTTACGTAACCAAGCGAAATGGCACTAGCGTTTAGCTACAGTTGTAGTCACATGGGCGGCGTCTCGCCCAGAGGATTTTCCGTTTTCTTTTCTTTGCTGAAAAAGATGGACTGTCTTGCCAGAAAGCAAAATCGGGAATGGTGAGAAAAGAAGCCGCCAGAACGGGGTGTGTAGAGACGACTCCGTAGAGAGTCAAGATAGAAAGAGCGAGCGCAAGAGCGAACGAAAGAGAACGATAAACGCTGGAGTGGGTCAGGAATGCTTGCTTGCCTTGTTCAATTTCGTGTTCACTTGTTCCCTCCCATCTTTCGCTTTGTGTCGTTCGTTTGTCCTTGTTCTTGTTCTTCTTCTTTCCTTCGATCCTGTTTCTCCTTCACTGCTAACTAAGTAGACTAACTTTTTTTTCCCTCCCATTTTCTTCCCGTCCATTTGTTCGGCTGTGACATTTTATCGCCCTTACAGACAACCCTTTGTTTCTGATTGAGACGCTCACCTAGCACCACCATCAGTCCACACCCCATCAAATAAGCTCCGATAATGCGCATGTTAATTAGACCTGCGGAACCCAAGGAAAAAAAGGGGGAGGCAAAAAGTCTCAGCGGTGAAGGCCAGTCCCCGGCCGGAGTGGGACAACAGGAGCTTCTAGAAAATTTCCCTGGGATTTCCCATTGGGGCCTCAGCAGCAAAGGCACCCATCGAGAATCCATCTGGCAGCCCACCCGTACCGCACTAGTGTAAGGACGCGGTCAGATTCTGACGTAGTTCGTTTCCTCCTGTCCGGCCGGTGGAGCTCAGCTGTTTCCCGACAGGGGAAAGGGAAGAGGAGAAAAAAAAATAATTATGATTTTATAATTTATGATTTAATTTTAATTTTTTCTTTTTCCTTCTGATTATTCTGTCCCCATTATTATTTTTCATTATTATTATTCTACTTCTGGTTCAGCGCCAATCACCCCGGTTGGTCTTTTCTTCAAAAAATAAAAATAAAAATAAGGGCACAGAAAATTGAGGGAAGCTCTCAAGTATATATTAGACGCCCATCTGACCTCGTCCTCTTCAATCCTTTTGGTTTCATTCAACTTCAATCCTCTCAAACAACTCGCGTGCTACACTACACTACATCAACCACCATACTACTATTACTACTACTTCCTTCACACCACTACTACCATCACCACGCACACCACCCATTACCATCATCCACAACTACATCATCATGCCTTCCATCGGTGGCTCTACCTCTCAGTTCCCTCCTTGCCCTGGTCCCCCGCCAAAGGGTCCTCTTCCTCCGCTCCCCAAGTAAAAGACAACGGGCAATTCACTTGATATGAACTTGACGACCGACAGACTCAGCCGGTTCAACCACAGCTCTTCCCACCAACTCCGCCAGGAACAGTGACAATGTGGGCCGGTTCGAGTCTCTCATGACATGGGAGTTGCACCTTTCGGCATATGGTTATCACGATTTCGTTTTTGGGACATTACACTATGGCTCTGCTCCTTTCCCACTTATACCTTTTATTCGCATTCCTCAACAACCTTCGATTCGCCATCTTTCGGACTTTTTGACTACCACCGCCACACGGAAGCCTCTCCTGGGCCGGTCTTTAATTCTCCATACTATTCTCCGGGACCACGCGCAGGCGCTCTCTGCTCCCAATCTACAATGACGTTTTGACATTGCGACATCGAATCGTTGCACTGCATCAGCTCACGCGGCTGTCGAGTGATCGGCAGATCCTATCGTACTGCAGGGGGGCCCGATTCGACAAGAGGGACCATGATGCTGTGACTCGCTATTGGTTCCCCACTCTCGGGCCATTTATCTCCAACCAGCCTTGTCAGCAACCGGACCCTGCAACACCAAGTGATGACGACAAGACTCGCGAGCATACGAGTTTCATGTGCAAGTTCGGGTATTGCTCATCGACCAACCCCATTGCAGCATGGATCGCACGATCCCCACCGATGTCAATGCGTTGTTCGGAAACCTTGGATTCCATTCGCACATGGGGTTCAACAATTACTTAATTCCTTTTTATTTCCTTTTCCAGTCATGTGTACCATCTTCATTGTTATCATCCACATTTGGGATTTGAGCTTTATCTGAAATCGACGGCATGTATAATAGACTTAATATACCCAGCGGCATTTCGCATTCTTGGCTGCGCTTTGACATTGCTAATGAGACTATCAAATTCTTTGACCATTTACTTCCTATCTTGCAATCTTAAACAATACTGTAGTACTGTAAGCATCTCATGATAACTGCATTGCAGCATTGCATGGTGCATTGCTTGAGTAACCTGTGTGACCGCGGGGAACTCCCCCTCCCTAAAGAAGATCGACAGGAAGCACACACAGGGCAACGTTCAGCAGCGGAGTAACAACAGCGCAGCCCAGCAGGGATTCTGAATCAATAGCGCTGCGATGCCCCCTCCCCTTCTCTGTAGTACAGAGAACCTCCATCCATCTTTAGCGCCAGTCCCAGTCCCTCTTTTGGCGCATGTACCGCACTGAATTGAGTAATCAGATAGCGGCATTTGACAAGATTATGACTCGATCATACGGTGATCCAAGCGAGGGAAATAAAAAAATAAAAAAGAAAAAGAAACACAAGTCTTCCGCCTCTCCCGCAATTCCTTATCAGTTGTACTGCAATATTGCTTTTTTTCTTTTTTCTTACTTGATGCAATAGTTTCTGCGAGGTACGCACCCTGGCCTGCGCGGCCCGGGTGGCGCACCTGATACGACGGGCTCAACCGCAGGACTTAGTACTACTAAACAGGAACCGACTTGACTATCTATCTATGCCAATAAGTGGTAATTGGTTGGAATGTTTGTGTGCCAAAGACCGGTTCTAAGGACCCCTCTTCCTCCTCCTCACCCTCTCACCCAACTTAAGGAATCTAATCTCGTAACCGCCAAGCAAACCACATGCCACCTGCATTGCATATGTAGGAAGCCAAGCGCATGCCATGGTTGAATGGATAAATGGATGCGGGTAGCCTGACGATAAACAGAATGCTGATCAATGATAAGCTGATAATTTATTCCCTCTCTCTATAGGTAGATTACTGTGTGTATGTATGAGCCATTATCTACATACCTCATCCAGTTCAAGGACCGGCCCACCTGCATGTGTGTGTGTGTGTGTCTGCCTAGTAGGACCAAGAAACCCGTGCCTTGATTGCCCGCTTGTCGATATAACGGGTATACGTGGCGGGGTGGAGGGTAGAGGTACGACCTAAGCTCCATAATCCTGCCCTGTTTCTGTTATTGTCTTCCACGTTCTCTGAACCTTAGATGGGTTTAGCACGAATGTCCGATCGCAGGTCAACTGACCCCGGATGTACCTGGAGCCCGTTATTACTATTTAGTTATTTTTATTTATTTTGCTCACCATTAACCCGTAAGGTAAGCAGGGACTGAGCGTTAGTTCATTAGGCCGATGTCAAATCCCGGGATTGAGCATGTCATGCCATGTGCTGGATTGGATGGCAGAGATGGATGTGGTAAAATTAAATCTTACTTTCTTGTTGTAGTTATGGCGCTAAGTGGGTGTCATTCAACTTCTGCAGACATCTCTTGATTAATTCTGCGGGAGCCGGTAGATACTACTACACCACTAACTACTAACTTAGTCGTTGACTACCTCTACTAGTAACGGTGTAAGTAGGTGTGGCTTGAGTGTCGCCTATACTCCGGTCAGTCAGTTTACTTGGTTGAATAGCTACTAACTAGCTAGCTAGTTAGTTATCTGACTACTTCCCTAGCTTCAAACTCCCAGGCCCTTCTCCTATCATCAATTACGATCGGGACGCGGATGCGAAGAAAATCACTCGTACTTAGACCGATTAGTAGACTGATTCCCTCGCCTAAAAGGAGGGGTCAATGACACAAAGTGAAACCAAAACCCCATGGATTTAATTTACTCAATGCCATCTCACATACCCGATGACCCTACTTTGCTGCTTGTACTGTATCTGTTGCACTGGCCAGTCGCACCAACCACTTACTAGATCAGGCAGGATGATATCTACGTCCTGGCATACGTGGGATCGATCCACATCATGCTTCTTTCTTCCCCGCTCTATATCGTGTATACTCCGTAGCAAGTAGATACTCCGAAAGATACGGAGTAGTTGATGCTGGAATGGTTGCCTGTCAGCCTCAGGCGACCAGTCTCGCCGCCCGGCGACGGAATCTCCACGTGATAGCACCGGTCCAACAACGCAACCTCCATCTGTCTGGCCATCGCCGCAACGACTGGAAAAGATGGTTCTGGAACTTCATATTTGGGGTCCGGCATTTTCATTGCCGTCTATTGATGCGCAATGTCTCGCCGCCATTACGTATCTGTCCCTGACCGTGCCCAAGGACGCCTGGGTGCTCGTCGCAAGCAGTGATCCTTCCGTGTCGCCGACTTGTATGTTTATCTGAGTGGTTTATTCTCCGAATGCTAGTTTCTGGAGGGCCCCTGCTCTACACTTGTGGGATTAATGACGCTTTGACTAATCTCATCCAATCTCATAGGCGAACTACCTGCCCTCAAAAATGGCTCAACATGGGTGAGCCGGTTCCGCAATATCGTCGACTACCTTCGTCAGTATTCGAACGGCGACTGGGACCTGGATCAGGGTCTCGATGGACTCGAAAAAGCAGATAACATTGCGTATGCTTTGCCACGTCCCAGTACTTTGATATTATAATCGATCAGGAGAAGAGATAGTTCTAACTGATCATCAATAGCTTCTCCGCCTTCCTTGAATCCCGCGCTCAATCCCTCCTCGACCTCTCCCTCTACGTCACCAGCCAAAACTACTACAACTGCACCTCTCCCTCCTACGGCGCCATCCTCCAATGGCCCAACCAATGGATCCTCCCCCCGAAACTTCACAGCGCCGCCAAAACCCGCACCGAACATCTCGGCCTCTCCTCCCTGGACATACAAGCCATCGAAGACCAACGGAAACGTGACCACTCCGCCGCCGTCGCAGCAGGCCAGATCCCCAAGAACCTCATTCCTCAGCCGCGCGACACCGTCTCATCCCTAATCGGCAAGACGGCGCAGCAGAACCAGTTCAAGCTGGAGGCGTTGACCGCGGAACTGTTCGAGCCGCTCGAGGAAATCCTCAACGGGAAGGGATACTTTCTGCACACTCGCGAGGACGGACCTACAAGCCTGGACTGTTTGGCGCTGGGATACCTGAGTCTGGCGCTTGTGCCGGAGCTGCCTAACCCCTGGTTGAGGGATGCGATGCGCAGCAAGGCACCCCAGGTGACGGCGTATACGGAGCGAATGGTGAAGGAGATCTTTGGTGTTGTCGAGCTCGAACATGCTCTTCCTTCGGATGATACTAAGAGATCACGATCATCGATCCTGCCATGGCAGGCACCGCAGCGAGCCCGGTTGGCTACGATTGGAAGCACCCTTTACAATACCCTTGCGGATGCGACACCTATCTGGAAGGATATCCGCTTGAACAACCGGATGAAGGAGGCGATTGATGACAACGGGGAGCTGAGTGGGATTGAGCGTAGGACGATGTCGGCCTTTGCCGCCGCACAGTCGAAGGATGTGTGGTTGTCGGTTGGGTATGCGGTTGTGAGTGTTGCGGCGTTTGTTGGGTATCTTACGTTCCAACCGTCGATTCGGAAGAGTTGGACACAGACTGTTCAGCCTGTACACGAGGAGGGTGAGTTCGAGGTGGTAGATGAGGAGGAAGGTGAAGGGGAAGGGAAAAAGGAGGAGGGATTAGATCTTGAAATGGACGCGATGAAGGTTTTGCGTGATCTTGATCTATAGTGTATATTAGATAGATTGTTTATTATGTATTTCCCTCCACGGTGGTGTAATAGTAGCCAACCAGTTTCTTTTGAATCTTCAGATCTCGACATTCCCAGCGAGCATATTGTATGTTGATTTATAACCCCTACTTTCTACATAAAATTCCTCTGGCTTGGCTTTATACTCGCGAACAGTACCCATAGGTCTACTGTCTTGGATATAGATAAGAATCGACAAATTGCACATGTCATAGTCAGGATATAATTATTTGAGGCACCTTAATTAATCCATAAAGAAAGTACAACTGCGTATTACATACCTTCAATGTGTTCTTAGCCCTTCAGTTACTTACCTGTGCTACTAATCTCGACTTCCACCATAAGATCAATAGTGTCAAGACAGAATAAAATCTTAATTAAGAAGTTCGTTCGAATCTAATCCAGTCAAAGAAATAAGAGGCAAGGCTGACACGCATAGTATGTATAAGTCTCAGGAAAGGAATTATATAATAAACAAGATGATCTGAAAGGAACAAAGAAAAGAAAGATAGGGCAGAGTAATCTCCAAATAACGCAAGATTCGAAGTATATCCCTTTTTTTTTTGACTGGTTGAATGGGTCTGGACTGGACACTTAGCATTAGTCCTTCATACAAAGCAGTATTGCGGGCAATCTTGGAATCTATCTCCTACTTCCTACCTCCTACTCATTGTATGAATTGAAGCCCCGTCCGGTTCGGGTGAGGTATGTATATGCGGAGAGCCCCAAACCCACATTTCATGCTACTGCAGAGGAGTGCTTTCTTCTGAGACAGATACTGCACTCTTTTGGCTAAGAAAAGGAGCCCCTACGAGAGTGGAATATGGAAATGAATAGTTCCTCTTTGGTACATTCATATTTACATCAGACAGCGCCAATACACACCGAGAGCCTCCTGGTACAAAGCAGACATTTGAAAGAGTCGCCTAACTAGTATAAGACTTAACCATCGCACCCGAGTCTCAACCTTGGGAAATTTTGGCCTCCTCCACCAGTATATACCAGACTATTAACTCCAACCCCGACACCACCCACATGCCCTCGGAAGAACGTTGGTATCCACCCATACCACAAATATCGGCATCGGAAAGACAGCATAGAGAAAGAGAAGGACTTTGATCTTCCTCGATCGAAGCTGGAATGGCTGATTCAGGATAATGCATTGCATCCGGACAATACAGGCCGCGACCATCGCCTGGAGAGCTAGGACATACGCCTGGCCAAAGGGAAGGCAGTGGATGATTCGAGGGATTGGAGTGAGGTGCATTATCATGAGGTATATATTTGACACAACCACCCCGCAGAATAGGTAGGTGATGGTTTCTGCTGGGGAGATCATGGTGAGGAAGGGACGGGAGAAGCGATTGGGTTGTTGACGGGGCTAATATCTGGAAGATGGGAGGGTTGGGGGGGACTCAGTTCTCCAAATATGAAGTATCTAATTAGCGCTTGCTCGGGCCTCCAGCCTTACAGGGAATAGCTTCCGGGTGTGAGCAGCGCCACTTGTCAGATGGAGTTCATTGACCATGTAGATTTTGGATGGTGAACTTCAAGGTAGATTTGCACGCGCAGACCTCTCAGCCTGACTAGCGCTTCGGCGAATGGGTGCTAAGTGCTTTAGTGGGCAATGTGATACCACGCAGGTGAGACACTGACAGGGTTAGATTCCTCTGGGATGAATTTTTGGCCTAAACGTCTTGGCTAATAGCTGTGTGGGTAGGTGAGGGGTACAGTATCGCTACAGCAGTTCGATGATTGCATTTCATCGTCTCCTCACTATGAAGTATAACACCCTTTGTATACAAGCCAGATACTTGTAAATTTTGAATCTACCATCGTGTCAAGTGGTATGGTCCAGTCACAGATGCAGGGTAAAGGAAAGCAATTCTACAATTCTCATATTAATAAAAGACAGGCAAGCACCATAGCCATCTTGAGTCATTCCATCAACTAACCTACAGCGTCAACCCAGCTATAAAGCTGGTAGACGTGTTAGTAGTCATGCCATCTTCCCTGTGGCAGATTGATTCGTATGAAGATTAAATATAGTAGATTTCAACTCACCGGTAGCAAGAGCGTACCGGTCCTAATACTCTTATGCTAAACCTCCAGGACATACATACTATACGGGCTTTAGAATAGACTAAGTAAGTAACCAACCCAGTGATCTCAATACAATACGTTGAAGTTAAGCTTACCCGCGTTATACCTGATAAATTGGGCAATAACCTCCCAGATGTTGCAATGATTTTATTTGGTAGTCAGTCATTTCAAGTAGTTAGTTGGGTTGTATAATCACTTGGTTAAAGTAAGCAATAGCTACTCCAGCTCCTATTGTACAATGCCCGAGGTCTTATGTATTCATTGTGGAGTGTTATAATGCAGATTTAGCGCGGTTTAAACTTATACATGAAGAGAAAGGGGATGGAAATGCCCATCGGCCTAGAAGAATGGATTTTTGAGTTGATGAGCGGGTATGACTACTTAATAGATTGGATATAATTAGATACTAGGTAGTTATTACATCTCATGTTTAGAGTATGTTCGTTAGCTGTGCGGTGAATTCATTTATTTTGGTTATTGTCATTTTCCATCTAATTGCAAGCCGGGTCCGCAATACTAGATAGTTACAGGGAAATATGTACAGATAAGAGATGGTGATTGTATAGCCAGATGCAGCTTACCAATCAGAGAACAGAACTTAGGACATTTATAAGGTTAGATCGAGGGTAAGATACTAGTCATATGGTCACTTATGTAAAGATATGATTAAAGATTGAAACTCAGAGTATAAGTTACTCATAACTCAATAATCACGGTGGTATATGGATGTATGTACAATCGAACGTATCAAGCAAGCAGATCCTGGCAGCACGGCAAGGGTCGGACGTGCAATGTAACCCTCACTTCCAGCTGCGAGGGTCAGACCCCGAAGGACCCGGTGCAGGCCTGCACACACACAAAAACACCCTAACCCCAAGCCAAGTTTACCGAAGGGAATATTTGAAAAGAAAAAAGAAATCTGAACAAATCAATGACAAGACACATCTACTCGAAGTCGATGGTGACCTGGAGACGGACGGGGCCGGAGGACAGGGAACCACCGATGCCATCGGCAGCAGCAAGGGCAGCCGTGTAGGCGTTGATGACGCTGGTGGCCGACTTGGAGATACTGGAGCATCCACTGCCCTGGTGGTCGCAGATCTTCATACCCTGAATCTCCTGCTTGGCGTTCTGGGCCTGGATGGCAGACACGTCCCAGCCGGACCAGCCTTCGTTGCTAGTGTTACCGAAGTCGAATTCACCCCAGGTGCAGGAGTAACCGCCGTACTCGTCGGTGGGGAGCTTGTCACCCTTGGCAGCACCCCAGCCACCCTGGGAGTCATCGTCGAAGGCGACGTAGCGAGAGGTACCGGGCTTGATGGTCAGGGTCAGAGCAGAGTTGCCGTACCAGCCGTTCAGACCTCCATCGGGTCCGATCTTGTTCCAGAAGACGACGGTCCAGTCGTCGTTCTCAGCGCCGTCAATGCGGACGACGTGCTTGTACTGGCAGGCGTTCGAGGCGTCGACTTCGATGATGTTGCTACCCCAAGGGCTGCCGACATTGCCGGTGTAGTAGATGGCGTTGGTGGTGCGCTTGCTGACCGTGGACTTGCCAAAGCCGGCACGAGAGTAATCGCCGGACGAGAGGGTGTCGGTCCAGCTCGAGCAGGATCCACTAGCAGTGGCTGCGCCGGAAGAGCTGGAAGCAGAAGGAACCGCCGAGACGGAAGCAACGACGGAGGCGGCCACGGAGACAGTAGCGGCAGCTTCGACAGACACCTGAGTAGTGGCAGCCTCAGAGACAGTGGTAGCGGCGACACCGGACCACTCGTTGATCCAGGAGACCTTTTGACCGTCGATAGTAGCGACGACGACATCGCCGACGTCACGCTTGTCGTTGTGGTGGTGACGGCGTTCATGGCCGTGCAGGCGAGCAGTAGCGGAGCCAGCCGTCAGAGCGGCCAGCAGGAGCATGGAGTCCTTGAGCTGCATGATGTTGGTATGATGAACAATGAACTGAATGGGTATCACAGGTGTTGTATTGGAACAAAGCAACCGGTTTCAGGGTACACGATTGATGAAAGAGAGTGAGTAGATTGGGGAGTAATGAATGACGCGAGCAACACCAATAGGGACGCTCAGCCTTGAAACAAACACACACAAAGGAGTGAGATGTGTACCCGAGAAGGAGAGCAAAGCAGTTGCAGAGCAGAGAGCAAGAGAGAAGAAGAGGAAGGGAAGAGCCGGGGGGGAAAGAGGAGATAATAATAAGAAAAGCCAGAGGGGGGAGGAGATGGAAAGGCCAGGCCCAGATCGTGGAAGGGGAGATTCCCATTCAGTTCGTTACCATCGTTCCTTTCTTTCACTCTGCATGGTTTTTTCACTTTTCCCGCATCAAACGGTCCTCTTCGTATCAAGTCGGACCTGTAATTGGATTTCTTTAAATTAAAAGGGGGTCGATCAGGGGAGTCACTTGGCTTTGGGGGTGACTGATTGGCTGAAGACGAGCATCGGTTCCTGAGCTTGCCGTTCGGATGCTGCAAAATAGCGTGTCATTGGTGGGATGGCCCCCACTGGGGGTCTAAACCCAAATCCTTCTTTCGTCTGCAAATACAGAGTACAGCATAGATACCTCGATATAGCATGGTTGGAACTCGATTTATTGACCCAGTAAACACAATAATTACCCACTTATATTCTACGTTCGGATAAGGCCCGACAGTTAGCATACCCATTTAGCAGATAGTATAATGAAGAACATCAACAGTCAATGGTAGATAGGATATGCTTTGTAGGTCGAGACTCGCAATCCCTGGAACCGCCCCGCCGATCGCGCCTGCCGTTGTACAATACCGTACGGTGCCTGGTACCTTACAGATGCACTCAGCACTTTGTGCTGCATCGTGTTCAGGTACACACTCCAACAATTCTACACCGTCTCTTGAGTTACCAGTGATGATGAGAATTTGAACATGTCAGCAATCCAGAGGAAGTGAATTCCGTGGTGCCCATCGCCTAACGATCGATCAGTGGACGCCTCACGATAGGGCGGGGTTTGATTAGATGCATGGAATCCAGTTGGAATGCTGCCCGATCGCAAGAATTCGACAGAGTAAATCGCACTGCTTATTGATACGTCATTCGAACCAATATTCTGCCGTTCAATTTAATTTCACCCATGAACAAGTCACATCAACTTCAGTCATTGTTGCTTGGTCGAATCCCGGTCTTGTTGCCGGTTACCCAGGAACGAGCCAGTCCATCGCCACGTCAAGACCCACGTTGGACAGTGATTTGATCCGATGGACTGACAGTGGATGAATACAGGCCAGACCGTGAGATTGCACACCGTAAGACTGGAGCCTGCGTTCGGGTGGAAATGGAAAGGCAAGGCAGGCAGTGACTTTTGCTCTCACTGCATCCACCTTGGATCGTTACGGTAATTTTGGTATAGCCTCAGGTAAGAAAAGGCTTGCAGGACCCCTAAGGGTCCTGCTGTTTTGCCCACCAAGTGACCCTGAATGCCACGGCTTAACCCCAATTTGACCCTGCCGCGGACCCTGATCAGGACCCCCCAAAATCCAGGGACGGCGGCAACCGGAATTCCAAACATCCTGCGCAGCCATGGTCAGCAGGCCCAAACAACAACACCAACAATCGAGTTTTGCTGTCTGTATTGAAATCACTGGTCATCCCATGGGCCATCTGGCCAGCGGGCCACTAGAGTTTAGCACAGCGACAATTCGGTAATCTTCAGCCCGTGTCCGAGTCCACCCCAACTGTCATTGCCTGTTGTTGGCCCGTGACCGGCAAGTCTGGGTAACGATAATCGCTTAATCCACCGAGGGGGTGCGACCTGCCAGGTTCTGGCCACCGAAAACTGGCTGGACTATCGAACGTTGTCTTGGATTTTATGGGAACTAGCTCTTGCACTCATAGGAGAGCGTTGTTCTATACGTCTCTATCTATACTACTTCATTCACATGTAAATAAATAGTGTTTCCCCGGGTCTCTGTTCCATGGATGCCGACGGAACCCCCTTCTCGGTTGGCAGGAATTGCTGACTTTCCAACAGTAAGCCACATTCGGCCCTCAATATCAGCCGACCACTTCCTGGATGGGCTGAGAATCTCCTTTTCGGCCTGGGGGCCCTCTAAAATTAGAGGCCAGCTGCCCTGTTCGAGACGAGGAGCGGATACTATTCCTGTCGGGGAGAGCGACTCGTCAGCTTCAATTTGGGGCCCGATGATCCGGCGTGACTAAGCACCTCCTTTCGAAACCCGTCTGTCGACCTAATTAGGGTTAGACGACTGCCTATTTGGTGCTCAGTCAGCAGCATTCAGTTGCAACAATTAGTTTTGAGTTATCTACATTCTCATTTTATCGCTATGCTATATCCACGAGACGAACAGCCTCCATGTCTTACTACACTCCGAGATCAAATCAAATGCAACATATTTACATCTATACAATTATGTTCTAAGCCTCAAGTAGGCCCCAAGGTATGTACTGCGCAAAGAAATCATTAAACTACTTCAGGTCCACCCCTCCGTCGAAAGCAGCACCCCCCGCCTGCGCATCCACCTTCATACTCTCATCCAATCCACACACGCGGAAGAGCATCTGTGGTGTCATCTCCTTGTCCAACCCCGGGATGCCATCCCTCTTCAACTTCTCCATCGCTTCGCGCATCGCCGCAACGGCAGGTCCCAATGCCGCGAATGGGAAGATGATAATGCGGAAGCCCATCTCCTTGGCCTCGGCCGCTGAGATCGACGGCGTGGCCCCGTGCTCCACCATGTTCAGTAGCAACGGCCACCCCGCCAGGTCCTGAATAACTTGCCGGGCCATCTCCCGGGACGTAATCCCCTCGAGGAATCCTACATCCGCGCCTGCATCGCGCGCGGCCCGCAGTCTTGCGACGCTCTCCTCATAGCCGTGGGTTTGGAGGGAATCCGTCCGGGCGATCACCACAATATCACTGCCAATTCGTTGGCGAGCCTGCACTGCGGCCCGAATCCGCGTCACGTAGGTGTCCCTGTCCACAAGAATCTTGCCGGCAAGATGTCCGCAGCGCTTCGTCTGAACCTGATCCTCGAGGTGGAAGGCGGCGACTCCAGACCGCGAGTATTGCTCGGTCGTGCGTGCGACCATAATGGGGCCGCCGTAGCCGGTATCTGCGTCGGCAATTACGGGAGTGCTAGGGGAGATGTTGGAGATCATTTCGGCGTTGGCGCGCATGTCGTTGAGAGTGCAGATGCCCAAGTCTGCTTGGCCGTGAACCGAGGCAGCGGTACCAGCACCGGTCTGTAAGGAGGGGTGAGCCGGTTGGCCAGCATTCAAAGATTGTGACATTCGCCACTTACCATGTACAGAGCGTCGAAGCCCGCGGAAAGGGCGACACGAGCTGACAGTCCATCGTAGACTCCGGGGGCGACAATGAAGGAGTCAGGGTTCTCCAGAGCCCGTCGCAGGGTGGTAGCAGCAGTTACCATAGGCATGATGGCGGTTTGTAGAAGAAATGTTGGTCAAGAATGACAACGTTCTATGAAGTTGTAAAGGGTGTGCTGATGACGTCGAGACTTGTTGCTGTTGAGAGGATGCGGCTGTTGGCTTTATAGATTTGAACTCGCGTGGGCTGACAGGTATCGCCTCCCGCAATCGCTGCAAGGATTGATTTATCTGTGATCTAGACGCCTTCTTTTGCCTCCAAGTCTGCGATGGAAGGAGAATTTAAAGGTGAAGCCATGGGAGCCCACCCGACATCGGCGGAGGTTAGGTAATCCCTCGGGGATGATTCGGGATTTGAGCATGACTCGGTAGTAGCCGATCCTGTCAAGTTGCTGCAGATCGTTGAATCGTCTATTCTACATAGTATGCGAATAATCAATTATTACCATTGGTGCTATCCTTCTAGATAGCTAAAAGTATTCTTCCGAACCCTCTTACTATCTTATATCTCCCGTACTCCGTAGTGCTGAGCTTATATCGCGGGCTGCAGGGATTCCAATCCGTGGCCAACCAGTGCAGGTGATCGTCGGCTTTTTCTGCCGCGAACTCGAACTCCAAACTGCACCTCCGTTTCTCTTCGGCTCTTCTTCTCCCCGCCACGTCCATTTCGCCTCCACATCCGCCCTCCGCGCATGCCAGCATGATCTGAACTCTGACGCGCCTATTCTTCGTCTCCGATCGGTCCCCCTCGACTCTATTTCCTCACACAGCCCTCCGATATCGATCCTCATGGCCCGCTCCGCCATTGTCCAAGAATACGCCCCTCCGTCCTCCGCACCCACCTTCTCCGTCGACCGCAAAGTCACCCACGAGCGCCAACAAAATGGCATCTCTCGCCCCAATGGATACCGCGTCTCCTGGCACGCCAATCCCGCCGTCGAACCACACCACTTTGGCCAGTCTCATCCCATGAAGCCATGGCGTCTGACCCTTACCAAGCAGCTGGTCATGGCCTACGGCATGCACCATGCGATGGACCTCTACCTGGCGCGCGCAGCCACCTACGAAGAGCTGGCCGACTTTCACAAATCAGACTACCTCGATTTCCTCAAACAAGTCGTTCCCGGCGACATGGAGAACCCTGAACAAAGCGAGAACATCGCGCGCTTCAACTTCGGGGACGACTGCCCCATCTTCGACGGCCTCTACAACTACTGCTCCCTCTACGCCGGCGGCACCATCGACGCAGCCCGCAAGCTCTGCAACAACCAGTCGGAGATCGCAGTCAACTGGTCCGGTGGTCTACATCACGCCAAAAAGGCCGAAGCCAGCGGCTTCTGCTACATTAACGATATCGTCCTCGGTATTCTGCAGCTCCTCCGCCTGCACCCGCGCGTCATGTACATCGACATCGACGTCCACCACGGCGACGGCGTCGAACAAGCTTTCTGGTCTACCGACCGTGTCCTCACCGTCTCCTTCCACAAGTACGACAAGGACAACTTCTTCCCCGGCACTGGTGGCCTCGACAGCACGGGGCCCACGCATCCCCTCAACCCAGGCGCCCACCACTCCGTCAACGTCCCCCTCCACGACGGCATCGATGACGAATCCTACATCCAACTCTTCCGCGACGTCGTCGGCTCCTGCGTCGAAGTCTACCGCCCCGGCGCCATCGTCCTTCAATGCGGTGCCGACTCCCTCGGCTGCGACCGTCTTGGCTGCTTCAACCTGAACGTCGCCGCCCACGGCGCCTGCGTCGCCTTCGTCAAAACCTTCAACCTCCCACTCCTCGTCGTCGGCGGTGGCGGTTACACCCCGCGCAACGTCTCCCGCGCCTGGGCCCACGAAACCTCCATCCTCATCGACGCCCAGGATACCATCGACCCTCACATCCCCGAAACCGTCACCTTCCGCAACCACTTCGGCCCTGACTTCTCTCTTTTCCCTCCCCTCTCGGAAATGCGCAAGCTCGAGAACAAAAACCCCCGCACTTACCTCGCCGGCTTGCTCCAATCCATCCGCGAACAGCTTCGATATATCCAAGGTGCTCCGAGCGTGCAAATGAGCTTCATTCCTCCGGATATCCTCGGTCTTCGCGAAGACACGGAGAAGGAAATCGAAGAAGAAACGGCCATGATGGATGAAGAACGCGAAGAACGATCTGGCGGTGGTAGTTTAGGGAAGTCGAGTCGACGGAGAGATTTGGAGAGAGGTGCTGGGCAGCGGGGAGAGCTTTTCTGATACCCACCTTCTTCATGCACTCTCTTTCTCTTCAATCCAGGTGTCTGTCTCGCATTTTCTTCGTCGGATTTGTTTCTGGAGTTGGTGGGGAACTGGAATCTATTGGGCCGGATGATGGCGTTTTCTTTTCTTTCCTTTGTCTAAAATTCATTATAATTGGGTTGTTTACTTGTATTTTTGGGTGGTGTGTGCTGCCTATAGAAAGTATACTTCTGTATTAGAGGGGAGGAGGAGGAGGAGGGGGTGGTGGTATGATATTGTCCTGTATACTACATATGCTAGAAATGTCTTTAGAAAGGAAAAATGAGAAACATCAGGACACATTTTGGGCATTTTTGTATGGTAGTATTTGAATGATGTAACTGGATATATTCAAGATACCTACTATCTTCCTGGGGCGATGATGGAAACTAAATCAGGTTATTTCTAATTATTACTTTCGGGATGTCTTGCTTGTTGCCCAATCAGTCGAGGAAGGGGGCGACGATCTAGAACTAGAAGCAGCAGGTAGACTACAAGGTGTAGGAAATAGTTATTACAAAGGAGGACAAGATATTAAGTGGTTGAAGGTCATCATTGATAGTATTCAATTACTTAAGGATGATGAAACATTATCTGCATCTGATATAGATCCAACAGAATCTAGGATTCAATCATATCAAAGCCGACGCCCCACTGAATGCATACGTGACGCTTGATTGTAAGCTAAGCAGACTATAGCCAAGCGAGCGTCCACAAAGCCGGCAAATGAGGCCATTTCTCCTGCCACTCAGCAAGAATATCAGGCACGCGAGCATCGAAATTCCGTCTCGCCTCACCGACTCCATTCTCCCATCCATCGGCACCACTGGCCTTTCTCTCCTGCGAAGCAGCCTCATTTAACCGATTCGCTAGATCCAAGATAGCCTTGCCTCCTACTAATGCCTCTTCGTGATTATCCTTGATATCCACGTTAAAGACATGCACGGGGCGGTTCAAAGGTGACCCCTTATTCATGAGATCGTCTACCACGGCATCCCAGCACCGCTCTTCACAGGTGATGATTACATCGACGACGCCGCCTTCGGTACCTAGGGCGCCCTTATCGCCCTTCGAGACGTGCTCGACGCGCGGCTGTCCCGGCACCCAGTCCTGGAAGCGCTCCGGGCCCCATTTCAGGTTACGGTTGCGCTCGAGCATGTTCAGGAGACCGTTGTTGCGGTACAGACGCTCGTCTTTGGAGAGCAGCTCGTCGTACATTTGGGAGTAGGAGGTTGTGTTGAAGTTGTAGACGTTAGGTTGGGTGATTGAGGGTCCGGGCAGGCGGACTAGAGAGCCCGTCCCGAAGGAGATTACAGGGAAGGGGCTCGACGCTGTGGAGAGCCGGAGGTGGGCTTCCATGGAGCGGTTTTGGTTGGAGGCGCATACGGTGCAGAATCGGAGTTTATAGGAAGATGAGGACTCCGATTCTGCGACCGTGTTGTTGTTGGCCTCGTTCGGCGTGGAGGTGGGTTGAGGTTGGGTTGTTGTTGTTGTTGTTGTTGTTGGTGTACCCATGGCTTCTGGGGGTGGTGGGGGTGGAGGTGGAGGGGAGGGAGCGGTCGCAGTGCCTGCACTGGACAGTCGGGGGTCGTAGGCCATGATGATGAGTGTTATAGCCGCGTTTGGTGTGACCGTAGGTTAGGTTTAGGTGGTGTGTGATGAATTCGGTAAGTGATCGTTGGGGGGGTATCAAGGAGGCTGGAAGGTGTGTTGTTCACTAGTTGGGCCCTGTAATGACTACTGACAATTAGAATCCGCGGCAAAAACAAATTCAATGGCAGTGACAAAGAAGTATAGTGTAAGGGGTGCAGGATTCAGTTAAAAGTTGCGTAAGTAATTAAAGTTTGTCCGCATAATGTGCTAAGACAGCTCCAATATATAAAGATTTCATCATGCTGCGGGGAGGAATTGGGATTGGACTAGATGAATGCATTGCATATACATACCTTAGAAAAGCCTCGCATCATCTGCAATTCATTTACGCTGGTTCTACTGGGTGTGAGATGGATGTTGTTGATGAAGGGCCGCAGCCCTGAGTTGACAAGGTGAAGAAGTTTGCGTCGGCGGATTTCGCGCGCCTTTTGTGGTCATGTGCGCTGACTAAGCCGCATGCTGCTCACTATGCCCGATTGGGACAGCTCGAGCATGGATTGCGATGGAGGCTGGGCATTTCTCTTGACTGAGAGTCGGGCTTGGCTTTGTTCTTATATAGTAGATTGAACTATGTCTGCCTTTTTGAGACTCACCCGGTTGCCTGAGAAGAGCATCAATATGGTATCTATCGACATGATCCTTCCCAGATGAATACCTTTGTACCATCGAGCGGGGTCTAAGAACTAGTCCGGCCGTAATGATACGATAATAGCTGCCTACAGTTCCTCTCGCTTTCCTCGAAGCGACACTACCTACCTGTCTGCATACATATCAAACAAGACCGATCTAGCCACTTTAACGGTGCTCGAAACTGACAAAGACCACGTTAGCGTTAACAAACACCATCCAAGATGAAAGCAGCCTTGATAGTGGTCGACATGCAAGAGGACTTCTGCCCTCCGGTCCGTACCCTTACCCTCCCCATTCCCATCCCCAACCCTCAACTACACAGCTCTATACTAACAACACTAAATAGAACGGTTCCCTCGCCGTCAACGAAGCCCGCACCCTCGCCCCAACAATCAACACCCTCCTCTCAAACCCAGGCTTCACCCTCCGGATCGCATCCCAAGACAGCCACCCACCAAACCACATCTCCTTCGCCCCGAACCATCCCCCGCCGAACAACCTCCCCTTCGAGCACTTCATCGAGATGAGCAATCCCGCAGCAGGCAAAGAAACCGAAACCAAGCCCCAACGACTCTGGCCCGTCCACTGCGTAGAGGGCACCAAGGGTGCGGAAATCATCCCGGAAATCGACACCAAGAACATCGACCTCTACGTGCGAAAGGGCATGGATGCGCGGGTGGAAATGTACTCGGCGTTTGCGGATGCGTTTGGGAACCTCGATGCGGAGGTGAATCGGTCGTCGGTGGATGTGCATTTGAAGGGGGCGTTGGAGGAAAAGGGCATTACGGATGTGTTTTGTGTGGGTGTTGCGGGGGATTACTGTGTTAAGTACACGGCGATTGATGCTGCGAGGGCTGGGTTGAGGAGTTATCTTGTTGAGGATGCGGTTAGGTGTGTTGATCCGGGGGTGGGGTGGGAGGAGGCGAAGAGGGAGTTGAGGGAGGCAGGGGTGACGGTTGTTAGGTCGGATGGGCCGGAGGTTGGGGGGCTGAGTGGGGTGGTGTAGGGGTTGTTGTTAGTTGGTTGGTTCTTATGTGTATATGTGTGTATGGATGTGTTGGTGGTAGTGAGATGGGTGGCATGCTTGACTTGCATACTGTATGTATGTGGTGTGCTTGTGCAGGTGTATACCTCAAGTGAGCGCCGGCACTCTGAGGAGTAGGCACTGAGCTATAGTTAGATCAAGATATGCCAAGTAGTACTATAAATGATCTAGTGGATCTAGACACATGGCCTATAATAGTGACTCTTTAAGACATGTTTCATCTGTAGATGTACAATAAAAGAATTAAGTAAAGGCTAGATACCAAGAAAGGACCGTGGATAGCGACAAGTTCAACCCTGGCAGAACAATCTGACAGGTCTCCACAGTGGAGTTGGGGCGGACGTTTGCAACGGCCTCCAGAGATCACCGGCTGCTCAGAACACAGAAAACCGAAAAGGATGATGAACGGGATATCTGACGATACTCGCGTTGGCTTATATTATTCCATCGCGTTCGATTTAATTAGCGACTATCCTTCTCCCCCTCTCCTTAATAACATGACCGTCAATCCCTTCTGGAATGGGCAGCGGGGCGTCGCGGCATCCCCATACTTTCAATAATCAATAACTCATCGCCACCGCATCCGGAACCGGTCACCGTTTATAATATCAGCTCTTACAGCTCTATTCCGGTCGGTGCTTTTTCTGTTCTTTCTTGCTTGCTTCTTTCTTCCTTTTCACCGGTTCGTTTTGTCTTACCTGCTGTCGGCCTTATACATTAGATGCTCTTCGCTTTATAGACTCGGACGTTCTTCCTCCTGCCACCGCTCGTCTATCGATAGAGTCAGACCGTCGCTATGTCGTCCGCTGCAACCTACACAACCTTTCACGAGGGAATTCACTCTCCGGATGTGAAAGCCTCGACCAAGATACTCAGTCCGACAACCAACCTTGCTCCAAAGACCTTACCGTACTGGCTTGTCAATGTCCCCCGCTCGCAATGGACAGCAGAATGTCCCAGCTATCTACGCGACACGTCGCAGAAAAACATCGAGGTGCTTTCAACCCCTGACGAGCAGTATCGGAGACAGGGGTGGGAACTAGTCAAGGAAATCGTTCGTATGTTTCACCGACCGAATGAAACCGTGCGTCAGGGGGGGAAGGACGTGGTCCGTGAGTGAGTGGTCCGCTAATAGATGATGGACAGGGTCCAACCAGATCGATCGGTTTCAGCGTCTTCCTAGCGATTTGAGACGGTATCTTGAGTTCAAGGAGCAGATTGTCGCGGAGTATGGATCGGTCATGCGGTTTGTCGTGAAGGAACGGCTTCGCTGGGGAGAAGGGACGGCAGATGATCTGAAGCCTAAGGGGCGGCCATTTGAATATGATGGTTCGTATTCATTGTTCTCCTTCTTTTCGGTTGAATGAGACCTGGGCTGTCTGCGAGATGAGATGAGTGCTAAGCATGGCTGTGATGGTTAGAGGATATTCGCATTCTTTACAATGACTGGCCGTATGGAGTCGAGGAAGGCATTGTTCACTTGGTGGTGTGGACAAAGTTCGAGCTGGAGGATGATCCGGTCACGGATGACCTGACGCCACGCGCACGACAGGAGATTGAGGAGTATGTGCAACGAACGTTTCTCTCACGGATGCCAGCCGATCAGGTATGTATTGGTTAGAATGTTGGAAGGAATGCGCCAGGGGGGGTCGGTGGTGGTGATGGGAGATGCTTTATTCAAGATACTAATACGAAGGTTAGGTCATCTGGTTCAAGAACTGGAAGTCATTAAAGTCAGTACATGCCGTGGAGCACTTCCATGTCATGCTGCACCATCCCGATGCGGAATTCCTACGGGAGATCACAGGAGGGGATGCTCCGCTGAAACGACAGTCGGCATGAGTTAGATACTAGAGGTGGATTGATTTAGTTGATGGTTAAGGGTTAATCCGGCATAGAGATAGACGAGATGGGTAGATGGGTCCCCCCGACTAGGATCTGAAGGAAGTAATAATAATAATCACCAACCATCTTAGGAGGCCAAGGAAGTGATCATCGGCATTGCTTGACGCTTGAAACATGAGAAGAAAAGAAAAAGCAAAGCAAAGCAAAGCAAAGCGATGGGCTGTCATCCGTCATCCCCACTGCCAAGCCTGTGTGCCCCTCTTGATCGCGAGTCCAACTGGAAATTTTGACGGCGATCGGGAGTTGGGAAGGTGGTTACGGTCTGTAACCTAAGAACCGGCGAGGAAAGAGTCGATATCATATACTTATAAGCCTTCAGGAAGATGCCGTGTCACCAACCAAGAGTATTACATATACAGTTATACACTGGAGGCGAGAAGAGCCACCGTGGAAAGAGAAAAAAGCCCTCAGAAAATTCCGAACCAAGGCAGTTTTCCCATCAACGTCATTCAGCTCCAGTTTCAGTAGCAATCATCCATCCGGATTCCCTCACACTCACCGTCTCTTGTGTCCCTCAGAGTAGAGTTAGGAGTATTTATTAATAGAGAGAACTTCCCGACACTGCGGCTTTCCCTCCTAATTTTTCTGCAGAATTGATTGTTGGTTTCAGGAAGTTGATCCCGACACTGTCCGTCCATCCCGACATTGAAAGGCATTCTTTGGAGTGACTGACTGTCTCTTCTGCCATTTATCCATATCCATTGTTTTGATTAATTAATTTAAGAACCCCCAAGTGACACCACAATTCAATTTTCTGCCCAAACCCCTCGAGAATTGAGTCAATCTTTTGTACGCCGCAGTCCGGTTGCATCGGTGTCTCCTCTCCATCCCCCCGTGTTGTACTTTCTCACACCAGCAAAGTTAAAAGGAAAAACAAGAAGTACAAGATCAACCACAATTACCACCACCACCATCACCACCAGAGAATCATTAGATCAAAAGAAGTACAACAGAACCACGGAACGCCATGCCCATCTCCGTCCCGCACATCCGCCGACGGTCATCGCTTGCCAGTGAGTGAAGTTTATTGCCGTCATCCGGTCGAGACTCTCCCCTCTTTTTTTTCTGTTGCTGCTGCTGCTGCTGCTCCTCCCACGTCATTCCTGTCTGGCTGCCTCAGTCACTTTCTAACTACTGCTGCTCGCTGCCTCAACATCCCCCTCCGCCGCCCTTTTCTCTCTCTTCCCCTCCTTGGCTCTCTCTCTCCCTCTCCTCCGACCGGCTGTCTTTTCACCACCTCTCTTCCATCTCGCGCATTTCTGCTGCCCACCATCATGTCTGCTGACTGGGGCTCTTTTTTTCATGTTTCAGGTAATCGTTCACACGATGAGCCCAAAGCTGAACCCGTGAGCGGGGATGACGAGATCGTCGAGCCCGACCAGGGAAATGGTACGTAGCTATCCCCCTCACTATGACCAAAAAAAAAAAAAAAAAAAAAAAAAAAAAAAAAAAAAAAAAAAAAAGACAAACAAAAAGAAAATACCTTTGCAATGATCTAGTCTTTTCCCATTTCCACTGACCTGTTTGTAGTTCTTTCCCACATTATCTCGCAGCTCCGACCGGGAGCTGACCTGAGTCGGGTCGTCCTGCCCACTTTCATTCTCGAACCCCGATCTATGCTGGAGCGCATCACCAAGTATGCCAGAGTATCTGCAGCGCATGTGAAGAAGAAGCAGCAGCTAACTGATTTCCTCTGCATCCAGCTTCATGGCGCACCCCGAAACACTGCTTCCTATGCCAACCATAGATGACCCCCTAGAACGATTCGTTTCCGTCGTCAAGTTCTATCTCAGCGGATGGCACA